AAAATCTGCATGTTGTGGGGAGGCTGGGTGGCTCAGTCAGTTAAGCATCTGACTCTTGATTTCAGCTTAGGTTAGGATCTCAGGGTCGTGGGATCAAGCCCTGCGTCTGGCTCCATGCTGGGCGTGGAGCCTACTTGGGATTCTCTCTCTCCCTCTTCCTCTGCCCCTCCCCCCACTCGTGCTTTCCCTCTGTAAAAAATTAAAAAAATAAAAACAAAATAAAATGTACATGTTGTGAACTCTAGGATGAAATGGACTCATTTCTGTGTCTCAGTTTTAGTTTCCTTTTCTACCTACTAGCTGTGTGACCACTGGTGAGTCGCTTGGCTCCTCTGTGCCTCAGTTTCCTCATCTGTGGAGTGGGGTGATACTACAGCCCTCCCCCATAGGGGTTGATGTGCAGTCCTTACACTTCAGTGAAGCTGGGCAATATATTCAGAAGGCACCCTGGATTTGGTCTGGACTATAAAAGTGTGAGCCAGGATGGCAGAGTTTTGTCTCAAGCAAACCCTTTTGTGTGGTCCATTTGAGGCAGGTGGTTCAAGTGGCCTTTTATTGGGACCAGCTGTCCTTCTGTGCTGTGTGCCCCACAGTGGCTGGGGCTTCTGTCTCATTCTCCACTGTGTCCCTTGTGCCCAGAACCCCAGGGCCCAACACACACTGGTCCCTGACTGCTGTGTCTCCTGTGGGCACTGGGTGTGGGATGTGCCCAGCTCACCTTGTGTGACTGGGCTGGGTGAACCCAACCTTTGAGGGCCTTTCAGGCAAGACATACCTGAGCTCTGAACATCCACAGCCCACCAAGCTGCCCCTTCCTCCACAGGGCTCCCCTTTTAGGGAAGGGTAGAGCCCTGAGCTCACAGAACTGAGGGAAGGAAAGAAGGAAGACCAGCCTGGCCTGCAGTCCCAGGAATGCTCAGTGCCAGGCCCCCTTCCTCCATAACATGCATGCTGGACTCCCTTGGGCTCCAGTGTTCTCAAGGCTGTTGGAAGCTGCCAGGCTCTGCCAGGTGCCAATGAGTGCCTGGCCACGAGCCACCTCGGGTCTGAAGGGATAGGTGTAGGAGTTTACCACAGGACTGGGAGTCAGCCAATCTGCCCTCTGCCTACTTCCTGCCTGCAGAACTTTAGGTGGGCAGCTTCACCTCTCCATGCCTCAGTTTTCTGCATCTATATAATGGATATGAAAACAACAAGATAACATGAGGATATCACCAAGCACACAATATGTCAGGTTGTAAGTCCTCCTGAAATGTGTGGTTTCCATGTAGTTTCACAACATCCCTCTAAGGTAGGGATTGCTCAGCCTGTTTTGAGACAGAAACGAGATCTCAGAGAGTTGGGGGGACTTGTCCAAGGTCTGCCAGGAAGTAGCAAACCCAGCCATGCCCAGCCTTGAAATTCCATGCTCTTCTTACCTGCTTCTTTTTTATTTTATTTTATTGTTTAGAGAGAGTGCAAGTGGCAAGGGTGGGGGAAAGGAAGAGGGAGAGAGAGAATCTCAAGCAGGTTCCATATGCAGCACTGAGCCCGATTTAGGGCTCGATCTCATGGCCCTGAGATCATGTCGAAATCAAGACTCAGACCTTCAACCGACTGAGCCACTCAGGTGCCGCTTAACTGCTTCTTTAGGGCCAGTCAAGTATAACAAAGAAGGAATTTAAAGCCAGTGGATTTTTGACAAGGGTGCCACAATTCACTGGGAAAAGAACAATCTCTTCAACAAACAGTGCTGGGACAACTGGATAGCCATATGTAAAAGGGCCCTACCTCACACCATACACCAAAATTAACAACAAATCAAAACGATGATATATAACATTCACTGAGGACTTACCATGTGCCAGGGGCTTTCCATAAATCAAACTAGCCTCCAGAGCCGCACTATGAGACAGATACTGGTATCACTCCCACCTTATAAATGAGGAAACCTAGGGACAATGAGGTTAAGGAAACTTAACCCTGTTGCCCTGTTGGTCAGTGTGGAAGTGCTAGAGCCAGAATTTGAACCAGGATTTTGAACCTCCAGACCTGGACTTCTAACTGCTATATGAAAGGGGAAGATTCTCATCTGTCCTTTAGCAAACAGCTGGTGACCCTGGGCGGGTGCCATCACCCCTGTGAGTCTCTGTTTCCTCATATACAACACGGCAATAATAATGTTGGGACTCCACCAGGAGGTCGTGAGGGGTAAATGCTGGTGAAATGTTTAGAGCTGTGCCTGGCTCCCAGGATGCATACGTATTAGCTGTTTCGGTGTGATTAATGATTTTTAGTAATTATTAGCATTAAAACTAAGCCCCTGGTTTTTTGTGTGTTTTTTGTTTTTAAGATTTTATTTATTTATTTGAGAGAGAGAGAATGAGAGAGAGCACATGAGAGAGGGGAGGGTCAGAGGGAGAAGCAGACTCCCTGCCGAGCAGGAAGCCCGATGCGGGACTCGATCCAGGGACTCCAGGATCATGACCTGAGCCGAAGGTAGTCGCTTAACCAACTGAGCCACCCAGGCGCCCCTAAGCCCCTGCTTTTCAGCACTACCCTTGGCTCATAATAAGCATTCAACCCATTTTATTATCATAAATTTTAATGATTTTGTAAGATTAGGCTTTATAAACTTGGAACCCTATTCTTAAGCTCGACCACAGAACACCACCTGGCGATTAATAAGTGACTGAAAAATGTATTACTCGTAAAACAGTAATGGTAGATTTTATTACTAAACAATTACTAATCACCTTCCTTAGAAAGTGAGTTAGAAACTGAAACTGAGCTAGTTCCACACCATTCAATTCAGCCAGTGAATTCCTAAACCAAGGGCACGAGAAGATCAGTTAACAACCCTGGCCGAAACCCCACGCTCTCTGAACCTGTTTCTCCCCTGGATTCAAGAAGGAGCCGGGGCATGAGGATTCTCGGAACAAATCAGCATGTTCTGCCCAATCGGTTTCTTTGGTCGGGGTCCCGCCTCTTTTCCCGGGCACAGCCACGCCCCCTGTGTTTACTCCAGCCAATCGTCGCGCGAGCCCCGCCCACCGCCCCGCCCCCGCCCCCGCGTGCCCAGGACCCTGCGGCCCCATTGGCAGGAGCGGGCTTCTAGCGCCTCTCCCACCCCGTAAGTGGCCTAAGCCCCCGAGACCGCTTCCAGCTGCTCTTCTGGCCAAAGAGGGGAGGATACGATGAGTGTCGTTAACTCTCGGGGCCCCGAGTACCTGGCAGTTTTGTCCTGCACCTCGGGTCGGCCTCCCACGCGGAGCTCTCTCCCCACAGGGAATCCCCACGATGGCGGCGGCGCTGCGTGCGCAGCCCCAGTGCTGTGCCTGCGTCTGCGCCTGCACCGACTCCCTGATGGACTACACTTCCCAGATCCCCGCGGGATTCGGGCTCCTCAGGGCAACCATCCTCCGTAGGTCAAGGAGGAAGGAAACTCGGAGCCTCGGGCGGTTTCGCCTGGGATACACCGATGTCAGAAGCTTCCTCTGGCTTTCGTAGGCGAGGTGGAGAAGCATCGCCAGCGTCCATCTCCAGGGCAACCGCCGGCTGGAATCGACGGGGCTGTCTCCATGGCAACTGCCTAAGCAGACCCCTCATTGCAGGCGCTTTTAAGTAGCAGGGATGCTCAACAAAACAGCGTGCTCTGCTCTTAAGACTTAATGGGAAACGTATGTTATAGCACAAAGAAGGGAGGAAAACTAGGTAGGGTGGGAAAGAGTTGATGTGAGGAAGGTTTCTCAGAGGAGGGGATCTTTGAATAAGGTTTTGACGGATGAATAGGAGGTCACCAGGGAGAGCAGAAACAGAGGAAAAAATACCATCTTTACTTACCTATCTGGTCAAAATTTGAAGCTGTGAAGCTGTATGACATAGTCTTAGCGAGGGTGTGGGGAAACTACCATTCTTGTACCATGCAGGTAGGGAGGGGAATGACTTCAGCCTTGAAGTCAATCAGGCAATTGAGGACTATTTTCTGAGAACCTGCTATGTTCTAGGCAGTGCTCTAGGCGCTGGGGATATCGTGGTGAAGGACACACATGGACCCGGCCTTCAGGGAGTCGGAGCAGGCAGTACATAGGAGACATATAAAGGGAAATTACGATTTGTGCTATGAATTAAACAGGCAAGGGGCTGAGACAAATGAAAGGACACCCCTGTGATCATGAAATACAAATATTTGGGAACATACATGTGCAATAAAAGCCAAATAAATCTCATGGCAGCTAGAGGTTGCCCTACCTGTAGATTTCTTTCTTTTCTTTCTCCCTTCCTTCCTTCCTTCCTTCCTTCCTTCCTTCCTTCCTTCCTTCCTTCCTTCCTTCCTTCTTCCTTTCTTTTCTTTCACAGAGAGAGACACAGCAAGAGAGGGAACACAAGCAAGGGGAGAGGGAGAAGCAGGCTTCCCGCTGAGTAGGGAGCCCGATGCGGGGCTCAATCCCAGGACCCTGGGATCATGACCTGAGCCGAAAGCAGACGCTTAACGACTGAGCCACCCAGGCGCCCCTGTAGATTTCTTTCTAGTGTTTGTGAGGATCTGAGTTGGGGTTTTCTTTAACTTGCCATTGAAGGCAGCCTGAAGTACCGGTATAAACAGGTTGAATGCCTTGCTTTTGGTCTTTTTGGCTACTTGAGTAAGTAAATCATCTCTCTTGTTTGAGCTATTTTGAGTTTTCTGTGACTTGAAACCCAAAACGTCCTTCATAATAAAGTCGTATTATTCTCCTTTGAAAAATAAGGAAACTGGATCAGACAGCAAGACAATGGCAAAGGCAAGATTCAAAATTAGCTTCTTTTAGACTAAAAAATCCAAGAATTCTACATTAGTATGTGAGTAAAAGAGTGAGGGTGAGTCTTTGAGAAGGAAGTGGATCAATTGTGCCAAGAAAGGTACAAACATGGTGGAATATATTAGAAGAAGGCATTTAAAGATGCTACCCTGCTGGCTTTGAACATGAAGGAAGGGGCCACAAGCCAAAGAATGCAGGTGGCCTCTACGGACTGAAAATTCATACCATAAGACATTTTTAAAAATGCAGATAGAATAAAAATTTAATTGTTAAAAAGTCATAAAAGTACTAGAACACAATATAGGATAATCTTGGGTGTGAAGAAGGCCTTTCTTAGCATGATAGTAGGTCCAAGAACTACAAAAGAAAATACAGATAGATTTGAATACCTAAAAATTTAAAAATTCTGTGTAGCAAAATACATCATAAACAAAATTGAAAGAGCGATAACAAACCTGGAGAAAATATTAGTGGCGTATATACCAAGGGTTACTATGTGTAATACTTGCTCCTATAAATCAATACACAAAGGCAGCCCAATTAAAATTGGACAAAATACATAAATAAGCAGTCCAAAGAAAGCAAAACCTTAACAAACACATAAAAGGTCATTAATCTCACTAATGCTAGGACATTTTTACTTATTAGATGAGAAATATTTTTAAAAGTTTTTAAAAGATTTATTTATTTGAGAGAGAGCAGAGTGAGAGAGAACACAGAAGGAGAGGGAGCATGGAGAGAGAAGGAGAAGCAGACTCCTCGCTGAGCAAGGAGTCCAATGCAGGACTCGATCCCAGGACCCTGAGATCATGACCTGAGCTGAAGGCAGACACAACCGACTGAGCCGCCGAGGTGCCCCTAGAAATATTTTTAAAAGGCTAATACTGAGTAATTTTTTAAGGAAGTTGGGCAACAGAGAATAGGCATTCATATATACTTCCAGGAGTCATATAAATTGGTTCATCCTTTTTTGGAGGATTATTTAGCAATAAATATCAAAATTTAAACATGGACATCCTATGGTCCCACAAGTTTATTTCTAGAAATTCATCTTATGGAGATATCTTGCACAGTGTCAAATGGTAAATATCCAGTGATAGAAAAGAAAAGATAAACAATCTCAATGTCCATTAATAGGGATTGGTTAAATAAATTCAAGAAACCCTAGCATGAACTATTATGCAGTTGTTATAAATGAGGATACATATATATGTTTATATATAAACATGTTTGCATTATCATGGGAAAATATCCACATTATACCAAGTGAAAAAAGTCACTTCTAAAATCATATGTGTGGGGGCACCTGGTTGGCTGTGGGTGGAGCATGTGGACTCTTGATCTCGGAGTTGTGGGTTTGAGATTACTTAAAAAAATAAACATCTTAAATCATATTTGTGCATATACCATACAAATCGTATACTGTTTTTATGTGGATATATACATGTGTGTGTATATACACACACAACCAGTTTCATAAAAACAAAAAAGGAAGTTCATATTCACAGAAAAAAGTCTAGAATCTTTGGAATGAAGATTTATAGAGAATAAATATGGTGAATTATTCACCATAAACGAGTATTTCTTCAACCACGAAAGGAGTCATATACTAAAAGAAATACCTGGGAAGACTTTAAACATGTTAATAGTTACCATGGGTGATGTTGGTGAGACACAGTCCCATCCTCTGTGGCCAGATTGCCAACGGACACAGAACTTCTTGGAAGCCATTGGCCCACGTCTCTGGGATCACTGAAACATTCTTCCTTTGACCCCATGACTTCCCTGCCCAGATTTCACTTGGAAACTGGTCGGGTGCTCAGCCAAAAACTTCAGCAGAAGGGACGTTTATAAAAGTCAAGAACTGGAAACAACTAAAATGTCCAACAGGGGATTGGTGAATTCACTGGCTGAATTAACTATGCAACGCCCCCCCAAACATCTGGTTGTTAAAGATGATTTAATGACATGGATAAATCATGATATTTAACGATAGGGGCTCGTGATATAAAGTAAACTAGAAGTATGCTAAATTGCATATTCAGTATACCCCAAATTTATTTAAGCATCTATAATATTATGTATTGTTTTTAAAGTAGCAGCAGTGTATCCAAATGTTAACAGTTATCTCTGGGTGGCACTGAACTTTGGGTGAAATCTTCTGGATTTCTTGGGTCTTCTAAATTTTCTATAAGAAGCATGTATTGATTTTTATAATAATAAACATTATTTTAAGAAGGAAACATTATACCTGAAATGTGTTCAATCTCCATAGATGTTCAGAGCATAGCTTCTGAGCCTGACTACCTGGGCTTGAATCTATACTCCACGAGCTCATAGCTGTGAGACTTTGGCCACTTCATCTCCCTGTGCTTTGGTGTCCTCACCTGTAAAATGGGACAATATAGCCCTGAAGAGGTGGGACTGTTGAAAGAACGAGAATTGAGACATACCGAGGGCTTGGGACAGAACTTGGCACACAGTTAAGTTACTGAAAACACTAGTCATTTTATATGTTTGACATAGGAAAACATTATGGATGTTTACTGCTGGTAAAAATAGAGTGGAACTGTGGTCCTCATGCCCAGCTTGTCCCAGGCAGACTGGGACCAGGCCATTTGGAAAGCAATTTGACAAGATGTTCCAGTAATCAGGAAAATCATTAGAATCGTGCTCCTGCTATTTCCAACCTAGGAACATGACTTAGAGAAATAATCTCCTCAGAAGGACAGAGGAAGCAAGTATGGAAATGCTCATTCTAACATTCGTAATTGGGAAAATTGGTGAACCACCTGTGAAAATCAGGGGCTTAGAACAAAATCCACGTGGGGGAATGGATTTGTAAACTATTTTACACCCACCAGTGAAATATTATTAGCCTGGGGCGCCTGGGTGGTTCAGTTGGTTAGGCGACTGCCTTCGGCTCAGGTCATGATCCTGGAGGCCCTGGATCGAGTCCCGCATTGGGCTCCCTGCTCGGCGGGGAGTCTGCTTCTCCCTCTGACCCTCCCCCATCTCATGTGCTCTCTCTCATTCTCTCTCTCTCAAATAAATAAATAAAATCTTAAAAAAAAAAAAAAAGAAATATTATTAGCCTGAATAATGATGAGTATGAAGTGTATGTGATTACAAAAGACAATGCTCAGGGTATAATAGGGACAAATCAGAGAAAGCCAAAATTGTTTCTACGCTCTGATCACAGTGAAATAAAATAACATTTATTTTAAGATGATATTTGAAAGGGAATACAAAAAAATCAAAACAATAGGACTTCTGAGGGTGGCCATATTGCTTTTGTTTTAGGCTTAAAAACATGGATATGGAAGACAGAGTAAAACAAAACTGGAAAGAAATACACACAAAATGACAGGCTCTCCCTGGGCTGTGTGGTTATGGAGAATTGGTATTTTATTCCATACTTCTCGACACTTTCCAAATTATCCTTTATGTTAAGTATAAGTTATTTTACTTTAAAATATTTCCTGTTATAAAAGTATGTGCATTATTTTTATAATAAAATATAAATACTATTTTTTGTTTGTTTTTTGGTTTTTGGTGGTTTTTTAGAGAGGGAGAGAGAGAGAAACAGAAGGAAAGAGAGAATCTTAAGCAGGCTCCACGCTGCTGACTTGGGGCTCAATCTCATGACCCTGAGATCAAGACCTGAGCCGAAGTCAAGAGTGAGACACTTAATGGACTGAGCCACCCAGGCGCTACCACTTCCCTTTTTTAATACTATGTTTTTATGATGAAAATATGATGAAAGAAAAACTTCCCTTTGGGCATAAATAAAAACAGAAAATGATGCTTAAGAGGGAAACTCCTTTATAAAGCGTAAATCCTGGACATGGGAAAGACACAAAAAATAGGCTTTAAAAATGGCTGTAAATAGTGGAACATACTGTGTTTAAGCCAACTGTGGATTTTGCCATGAAATTTGTAGCTTAGAGTTTTAAAGGATACTAAAATCTAGTGTTGGTGTTCAGCTACATAGACTTGTACTCTGAAGGGTTAATCTTCCCATTTTTTTTTTCCCTCGAATTTTCAAGCTCCAGTTTAATGAATGAGTGATAAATTTAAAAAGTTCACAGGGACCTTATTAAAGATATCAGATGATGTTATGTTCCATTTACACCACCCTCTGGGGATGCCGTAAGACTGAAAAATAGGGGGGAAGCTGAGATTTTAGCAGGGGAGCTCCTAAAATGATCAGAAGCTGTCCCAGCTGGTGATAAACTGCACCAGGTCCTTGTAGGAAATAGAGAAGCAACTCTCTCAATATATAGTGTTAGGGTTCCTCTCTGGGAGGAAGTTACTGGTGCTGATGAAGGCTACACCGAACCCAGCATCAGAACTGCCCATCTGCTACCTTCTCAGGCTTTCTGGTCAGCAGGAGTTCTCTGAATATCAGCAAGCTGTGTGCTCCACGCAAAGCCTTTCTCAAAATCATCGCAGACGCAGGCGTCATGCACAGTGTGAAGTCTCTGGTGTTCAGTCAGGTGTGAACTCCAGCTGAAATCCTCCCCACATTCCTTACACACATAGCGTTTGCCGCCTGTGTGTACCTTCTGGTGTTGAATAAGGTGCGAAATCTGGGTATAGGTTTTTCCACAGTTGTTACATTTATAGGGCTTCTCTCCCGTATGGATCCTCTGATGCTGAATAAGGTGGATGCTCTGGTTGAAAGCTTTCCCGCATTCCTTGCAGGCGTAGGGTTTCTCGCCAGTGTGAATTCTTTGATGTTGGGTGAGGGAGGAGTTGTGACTGAATGTTTTCCCACACTCTTTGCACTTATAGGGTTTCTCGCCTGTGTGGATTTTCTGATGCTCGATAAGGTGGGTGCTCCGGCTGAAGGCTTTCCCACACTCACGGCACTCATAAGGTTTCTCTCCAGTGTGAATCCTCTGGTGTTGGATGAGGTGGGAAATCTGGGTATAAGCCTTCCCACAAACTTTACACTCATAGGGCTTCTCCCCGGTGTGAATCCTCTGGTGCCGGGTAAGCGAAGAGTTCTGGCTGAAGGTTTTCCCACATTCGTTACATTTGTAGGGCTTCTCACCAGTGTGAATCGTCTGGTGTTGAGTGAAGGACGAGGTGTGACTGAAAGCCTTTCCACACTCATTACATATATAGGGTTTTTCTCCCATGTGAACACTCTGGTGCCTCATAAGGTGGGAAATCTGTGTATAAGCCTTCCCACACTCGTTACACTCATAGGGCTTCTCACCAGTGTGAATTCTCTGATGCTGAGTCAGGGATGAACTGTGGCTGAAGGCTTTGCCACACTCAGAGCACTCATAGGGTTTCTCTCCAGTGTGAACTCGCTGGTGCTGGGACAGGGACGAGCTATGGCTGAAGGTTTTCCCACACTCGTTACATTTGTAGGGTTTCTCTCCGGTGTGGATTGTCTGGTGCTGAGTCAAGGAGGAAGTGTGACAGAAGGCCTTACCACACTCACCACATTTGTAGGGCTTCTCCCCCGTGTGGATTTTCTGGTGGCGGGTGAGGTGGGACACCTGTGAGTAGAACTTCCCGCACTGGTTGCATTTATAGGGTTTCTCCCCAGTATGGCACCGCTGGTGTTTAATGAGGGAGGAGCTCTGGGTGAAGGCCTTCCCACATTCCTTGCATTTGTATGGCTTCTCTCCAGTGTGGATCCTCTGATGCTCAGTAAGCGATGAGCTCTGAGTAAAGGTCTTGCCGCACTCGCTGCACATGTAGGGCTTCTCTCCCGTGTGAATGATGTGGTGCTGAATGAAATACGAGCTGTTGCTGAACGCCTTCCCGCAATCATTACACTTGTAGGGTTTCTCTCCAGTGTGAATCCTCTGGTGTAGAATATAGTCTGAATGGTAAATGAAGGCTTTCCCGCATTCTGCACAGTTAAGTGGCTTCTTTTCTACAAATGTTCTTTGGCGTTTCAGGCTCTTTCTTGGCCCGTTCCTCTTCCGAGTCCTCTCTCCCACAGGCCCTCTTTGCTTCCTGATGAAGGCGGAGGTCTGCCTGAGGCTCCGCCCATGCTCGTGACAGCCCAGGCCTCTCTCCCCACAGACAGTTTCCTTGAGAGGAGCAAACATACACCTCAAACGCCTCTCCTGCTCTCCCCGGTCCTCCAACTGACAGCTCCAGGTCCAGGATGCCGCCAGCCTGGCATCTCCAAGCACTTCCCTTAAAACTCCCTCCCTCTCTCCCACTGGGGAAGTGGCCTCTTCAGAAACCCTCTTTTTCAGAAATGACTCCCAAGGAGCTGCAGAGCTGGTGTGCAAGGCTGAAAGACATGGAAAATGCGAATATCATCTGCGTTGGAACCAAGGAAACTGATCAAGTTGAAATGACACTGGAAAACTTTAAAAGGCAAGTTTCAAAGTGTAAGTTGCTATTTCAAAAGACAGGAGAGACTCGTGTTGTGACATGGAAGGATGGCCTCAAAATATCCGAAAAATGAAAATGTTTTTTTTACAAATGATTTGACTTATTTATTTGAGAGAGTGAGTGAGTGAGAGAACACAAACAGGGGTTGCGGCAGAGGGAGAGGGAGAAGCAGACTCCCCCGCTGAGCAGGGAGCCCGATGCGGGGCTCGATCCCGTGACTCCAGGACCATGACCTGAGCTGAAGGCAGATGTTTAACCAACTGAGCCACCCAGGCGCCCCAAGTTGTATATGTTTATGTATATGTTAACATGTGTATGCACGTGCATAGTGGGATGGAGGGTTTTCAATTTATTATTATTTACTTTTTGTTGTGGTAAAATACATACAACTTAAAATACGACATTTAGGTCATTTTTAGGTGTGCTGTTCCATTGCATGTATATACTCATGCTGTGGTACAATCGTCACCACCATCCACCTCCAGAATGTTTTCATCTTCCCAAACTGAAACATTACCCATCAAATACTAATGCCATTTACCCCTTCCCCAGCCCCTGGCCACCACCATTCCACTTTGGCTCTATGAATTTGCCTACTCTAGGCGCCTCATGTAAGTGGAATCATACAATACTTGTCATTTTTTTTTTTAAGATTTTATTTATTTATTTATTTGAGAGAGAGAGCGAGAAACAGCATGAGAGGGGATAGGGTCAGAGGGAGAAGCAGGCTCCCCGCCGAGCAGGGAGCCCGATGTGGGACTCGATCCCAGGACTCCAGGATCATGACCTGAGCCGAAGGCGGTCGCTTAACCAACTGAGCCACCCAGGCACCCAATACTTGTCATTTTGTGTCTGGTTTACTTCACTTAGCATCATGCCCTCAAGGTTTATTCACGTTGTTATTATTTACTTTTGTAATTAAAAAAATACAGTAAAGCTTTTGGGGTAAAATGAGAAAAGTAAATTTTTTTTGAGAGATAAGCAAGATTACGGGGAGATTTCCATTTCCTGCTTTATTTTTATTTACATTTTCAAAGTTTCTGCGATGAACACATATAACTTTAATTTGATCAAAAGATATCAATAAATAGGGGTGCCTGGGTGGCTCAATTGGTTAAGCATCTGCCTTTGGCTCAGGTCATTTTCTCAGGGTCCTGGGATCGAGCCCCGCAGCAGGCTCCCTGCTCAGCAGGGAGTCTGTTTGTCCCTGTCCCTTCCCCTGCTCGTTCTAGCTCTCTCTCAAATAAATAAATAAAATCTTTTTTAAAAAAAGATGTCAATAAATATTAAGTGTATGTGAGGCTTTTACTGCACAATCTTGCAATCTGGAGAAAGGGAAGTGTAGAGAAGAGATGATAAACAGGAAGCCCAGCCATGTGGAATTTGTTGAAGGGGATGGATTTTTTGATGCTAGTAGATCTGTTCACGGGACACCTAACAATTGCACATTGTTACATGCTAACCACAGTGCTAGGGCTTGCTGTCAGGGGTACTGGGGAGCCATGGGAGGGCTATGGGTACGGGAGAAGTGGGATCAGCTCCAGGTGTAGAAAGACCCCTCTTGGGCTGTGTGAGATGAATGGGAGGGCATAAGACTGGAGGCTGGGAGGTGAGGGAGGAGGCCGGGATGAGGGTCCAGCCAAGGAGCTGAGGCCGGAGCCAGGGCTGTGGTACAGAGGACAGGGGACTGGGAAAAGTTAGGGGGCAGGAGGGACAGGACTGGGGACCAATGGGCTGTGGTGAACAGGAAGGAGGGGGCAAGTCCCACCCCACAACACGGTGGGCAGTGACGGAAACAAAGATGCTTCAACCCCCCCCCCCCCCCCCGCTCATGGAGTTTGTGGGCCAGTGGGGGGCAGACATCTGGCCTCCTATTCCCCACCATGTTCGGTGGGGTCCCACTTCTGGGTCTTTACATAGATGATTCCCAATAAAGAAACACTAATAATCACTGTAGCCTATTCTGACCAGTGGGTTACTGTGTGCCAGGTGCTGGGCTACACTTTTAGGTGTTAATTCATTGACCTTTCCCAACCCAGGGTATTGAGCCCATTTTGCAGGTGAGGAAATCGAGGCACAGAGGGACTAAATGACCTGCCTGAAGGTCACAGAGCCAGAAGTGCTGGAGCTGGGATTTGAACCCAGCACCCACAACTATGGCGGGTGCTGGGCTGCCTCATTCTTGTCACTGATCAAAACAGACAGGATAGGAAGATGGCTCACACCTGCTGGACAACCTTACCCACCTGGACAGGTAGCTTGCCGGGCTTCCTTCTTCTCCATTCTGGGCTCCTCCCCTCGCTCCAGACGGGAGATCACATCGGGTTTACACCCAAGAGGGCCCACCCCTGGAAAAGACACAAGATTTGGCCATGGCTGCCAGTCATCGGGAGGCCTCGGGGCTGGGCCCCAGGCCCTGGGTCTGCAGGGGAGCTGCATACATTGGGTGCCTAATGATTAGAAGGTCTAATGGTCCAGGTGCCTGGGTGGCTCAGTCGGTTAAGGGTCCAACTCTGGGTTTTGGCTCAGGTCATGATCTCAGGGTCCTGGGATTGAGCCCCACATTGGGCTCCCTGTTCAATGAGGAGTCTGCTTGAGATTCTCTCTCTTTCTCTCTCTCTCTCCTTCTGCCCCTCCCCTACTCTCACTCTCTCTCTAAAATAAATCAATAGGGCGCCTGGGTGGCTCAGTTGTTAAGCATCTGCCTTCGGCTCAGGTCATGATCCCAGGGTCCTGGGATCAAGCCCCACAATTGGGCTCCCTGCTCCGCGGGAAGCCTGCTTCTCCCTCTCCCACTCCCCTTGCTTGTGTTCCTGCTCTCGCTATCTCTTTCTCTGTCAAATAAATAAATAAAATATTTAAAAAGAAATCAATAAATAAAATAAATCGATAAATAAATCTTAAAAAAAAAAAAGCAGCAGCTCTAATGGTCCATGCGAGATTCATTTGTTGAGTGCCTACTACGTTCCAGAAAGAGCCTGAGTCCTGACATCACTGCTTACTCAGAAACAGGGGCTTTGCAGATGTAATTAGTGAAGATGAGGTCCTACAGGAGCAGGCTGGGCCCTGAGCCAAAGACCGGTGTCTTTGTTTGAAGAGGAAAGACATACAGACACAATGGAAGGGAAAGGTCATGTGAAGATGGAGGCCAAGATTGGGGTGACAGGGGTACAGGGCAAGGAATGGCAAGGGCCGCCAGGAGCCTCCGGAAGCTGCATCCAGGAAGGACTCTCAGAGGGAGCAGGGCCCTGCCCACAGCTGGATTTTACACTTCTGGCCTCTGAACTGTGAGGGAATACATTTCTGCAGGGGACAGGTGGAAGGGACTGCGTTCTTTACACCCAAGTTACGCAGAAAAGGGGTCACACAGCAGGCTGCCGGCTCTCTTTGGAAAGACCTGCTCCCATGGCTGCCCGTGGCTGGCTGGCGTCTGGGAAGCTGGATTTCAGGAGGGTTCCCAGCACTCCCTAACCTCCAGGAGGGGCTCCCTGTGCTTAAGCTGTTGGTGCAAACAACGTGGTTTCTGCTGAACACCTGCTTTCCTTCGGGGAGTCTGGAATTTTGACACGTGCCAGGCCGAGGGCGCTGACGTGACTGGCCCCCACGAAAAACCTGGGGCACTGATGGAGACTCTAACAAGTGTCCCTAATGGACAACTTCTCACACGTGTTGTCACGTCTCGTTGCCCGTCCTGTGTGACTCCACGGGGAGGGGACTCTGGCCTGGTCTCCCCCAGATCTCGTCCCACGTGCCTCATCTCTTTGCTGACTGTGCTTGGTGTCCTTGCGCTGCAGTGAATTGGGGTGGTGAGTACAACTGCATGCTGAGGCCTGCAGGTCCTCCTTGAGCCCCCCAACCTGGGGGCTTTCCTCGGGCCCCTGACGTAGAAGTTTAAGCGGGTTTTTGGTGAGTTTGTCCAGTGAAAGTGTGTGAGTGAGCATGGCTGAGGAAGGAACCTTCAAACCACCAGAGTTCACAGAGCAAAGGCAAGACAGAAGAATCAGAAAAAGAAATTGAGGAGAGATGGAGGTGGACAGAAAGACAGACCACTGAGGAGGCTGGAGTAGGGTCAGGGGGTGAGGACAAGGCCAGATCAGGGTTGGGCTGCAGGGACAGAGGAGGGGATGGGCAGAGATTGTTGGGAGTCGGAGAGGATGTGGTGGGCTGTTGGGGAGGGGGTAGGATGGTGCTGGGGGGTGACTGGTCTGGGGACAGGGGACCCAGAGGAGGAGGGGCAGTTCAGTGTGGAGACGCTGAGCTCAGGGTGAGTGTGACAGATGTGAAGGGCCTTGAGGGGGCGCAGGAGGTGGGTGGGTGGACAATGTAGGACTAGGGAGACACATTTGGGAACAGCATTTCTGTGTCTTGGAAAGATTCTAAGATGGAGCTAGATGACTGGAGGACATCCAAGGAACACTTGGAGTCTGAGATGCTAGAACAGGCATTCCAGGGAGGAATCTGAGGTCACCACACGTAGAAAGGGAAGCAAGAAGAGAAGGTGGGGGCACAGGCTGAAGATTTTGCAGGACAGGCAGAGGACTCCGGGCCCTCGGGGACGCAGGGACTCTAGAAGAAGCAGCGGAGAGACAGAGGGACAGACAGTGGCCAGCCAGGAGGGACCGGTAAAAAGAGCAGAGAGGGTACCCCATAACCTCAGCAAATACCCACTGTTGAGCAGTGGGTGGGCACAAAGGAGATGAGGGCAGAAGGGGGGCATCACGCCTCTTCCTGGGGAGGCAGGGGGCAGGGCCTCACCCAGTGACAGAAGGTTCTGGTAGTTCTCTAGCATTACGTCCCGATACAACTCCCTCTGGCCAGGCCCCAGCTGGCCCCACTCCTCCAGGGTGAAATCCACAGCCACATCCTTGAAGGTCACTGATTCCTGCAAGGGACAATTTTACATGGTGGAGGGGCACATCCTTCTAGAACTCTGGGGCCGGGAGAGGTCATGGGTCAACAGCCTACCCCTGCTGGTGGTTGAACCAGCTCTAACACTCTGGGCTGGAACATACTGACTCAGCAGGTTTGAGATAACTGAATAAAAATGGCCCACAGAAATGCAGAAAGTTTTGGCCAGCTCCTAGCCCACAGGCTTCTTGGCAGAAGGTAGGAGAAAGCTCCCTTTTGCGTGACTCTTTACTGCCATCTGTTGGAAAATCGTTATAATATGCCAATTATTTTAGTAAATGACCGTTTACTGCCATCTGCATGAAAACTTCCACAATATACCAGTGTATGAGGTACATGTGGAACCTGCCACTGAGGTAAAGCACTCTTGTGCAGTGCGCAACCTGCACACCTATATATGACAGCCCTAAGAAACACTTTTTTTTTTTTAAATCAAGCCATTGTGTGCAAGAGTGATAACTAAGTGGCGCTCCATCCCAGACCCGAACTGGGATCACAATGCCCATCCCTGACTCCAAGGATAAGGCTCGGGGGTGAAGCAAAACCATCCACTGCCCACTTCTCTCGGCAACTCAAAGGCTGCTGAGAGTTAGATTGGTTTGTAGACTGGGTCATAACGTCCCAACTCAGAGCATCCTGCCCCTCCCCCTTCCCCTCCTCGCTGCACCTCCCAGCCCCAGAGCCCCTCCCACCATAGCCTCTTCCCCAAGCCTGGGAGGAGCAGAAGATCTTCAGGCCACAGGCAGAGATGAGGATGGCCCTCTGGAGTCCACAAAATCATCTTGGGGAAGGGGAAGCCCAGAATCACCTGGTCTTCAGCCATCAGGGTCCTGTGGCCACTGCGTGGTCCTGGGCATGTGCCTCCAGGAGACAGGAGCAGGCCTGAGTCCGCAGAGCTGGAGGAGGAGACTGGAACACAGAGGAGGGTCAGTTCTCGCCCAGACAGACAGACAGATGCTTCCCTGAAGATGCCTCATGACAGGGGACTCTAGTCTCCCAGGAGCTGGAGCAAAGGCTCCGGACGGGCTGTCCGAGGCCCCCATTCCACACCAACAACCGCTAGCAATCAGGAGGCTCAGCTCACTGCACCTACATAACAGCTCTGAAAGACTAGTTTAACTAGAGTTATCTCCAGAGAAGGAAATAGAGGCACAAGAGGTCAAGGCCCTTGCTCAAGGTCACAGAGAGATCAAGTATCTGAGCGTGATTCAGGCCCAGAAGTCTGGCTGCAGAGCTAAGCCGCCTTTTCATTTTTTAAATTTTATTTATTTTTTTTAAGCCGCCTTTTTAGTCTTACTTTTTTTTCTTGTGGTAAAATGCATATAACATGCAATATAACATTTTAACCACTTTAAATGATACAGTTCAGTGGCATTTAGGACGTTCACAGTGATGTGCAACCATCACCACGATCTGGCTCCAGAATGTTTTCACCATCGCCCTAAAAGGAAACCTTATACTGTTAATCAGTCACTACCAAATCGCCCTGTTCTGTCCCAGCCCTCCAATGCCAGCCTCTGATAACTACTCATCGTTTTTTCTTTTTTAAAAAGATTTGTTTATTTATTTTAAAGAGAGGGGAGGGGCAGAGGGAGAGGGAGAGAGAGTCCCAAGCTGACTCTGCACTGAGCGCAGAGCCCAACTCTGGGCTCAATCTCACGACCCTGAGATCATTCACCCGAGCCGAAACCAATCAGTCACTTAACTGACTGAGCCACCCAGGTGCCCCTCATCTTTCTGTCTTAATGGATTTGCCTATTCTGGACATTTCATATGAAGGGAATCATGTAATATGTGGCCCTTTGTGTCTGGCTTCTTTCATTTAGCATAACGTGTTCCAGATTCATCCATGTTGCACCACGTATCAAGGCTTCATTCCTTTTTATGGCTGAATAGTATTCTGTGGCATGGATCTACCCCTTTTTTGAAGAGCTCCTTCTTCTTTTTTTTTTTTAATAGGACGTGGTGCCCCATGCATGACCCTGAGATCAAGACCTGAGCTGAGATCAAGAGTTGGACACTTAACCGACTGAGCCACCCAGGCGCCCCTGCAGAGCTCCTCCTATCTGCCTTACAAATCCTGCATAAGGATCCTGATCTCCCACTTAAGATGTTTAAAGAAAGGTTCCATCTGCTAGAATAAAGTTTAGAAAAAATCCCTGCAAAAAAAAAAAAAAAAAAATCTCTGCCAAAGAAAAATCAGTGTTTGGACTATGGTCACTTCCATCCATTCATCAAATATGCTCTGAGACTCGTGAGAGTGACAGGCTCATCTGAGGGCAGAATAATGTGCGAGATGAGGCTCTGCCCTAAAGGGGCTCCCTGCCTGGTGGGGGAGACAGGCCTGGACATAGGCCAGGTGGTGGGCTGAACAATGGCCCTACTCCTGTATCTTGTGGACGAACGTGGGATGTGATTAAGTTAAGCACCTCTAGGTAGGAAGATTATCCTGGATTATCTGGGTGGGTCCTAAATGCTATAATAAGTGTCCTTAGAAGAGAGGCCGGGGGCTATTTGACCTGGAGGAGGCGGCTACGTGAGGGAAATCAAGAGAAGCAGAGTTAGGGAGAGAAGACCCTGCCTCTGGCTTTTAAGCTGGAGGAAGAGGGCTCATCTAAGGAACGCAAGCAGACTCTAGAAGCTGGAAAAAAAGGCAAGGAAATGGATTGTCCCCTAGAGCCTCAGGGGGGAGCACCGCTCTGCTGACACCTTGATTTCAGCACGGTGAAACCCACTGCAGGCTTCTGACCTCCCAAACTGTAAGAGAACACATTTGTGTTGTTTGAGCCACCAAGACTGTGGTAACTTACGGCAGGAAGGGAAACTAACACAGTCCAGAAACGAAAAGACGTGGCCTCACACGTGTTTCCAGTTACACAGGAACACAAGCAGCTGAAGGCTGAGACCAGCGGGTGAAATTCTGATGAGGAAATGAGAAGCAGAGTCTTACAGACTCTCCCCTATCTCCTCGCCAGTCACTTAATCATTACAAAAAGAAGGTCACTTTAGCGCGGAGACGCCTGGCGGACACCACTGCAACCAAGTGATCAAGACTGACATGACCTGTGATGGGCAAATGGGCATCACGGGCTTCTGATCTGATGAGGACACAGCATCATGCCCAAGGTACTCCCACCAAACCTAAATCTAATCATGAGGAAACACTGATCAAATCCAGACCAAGGGACATTCTGGAAGTGCCTGGTCTGTAATCTTCAGAATTGCCAAGACCATCAAGATCAAAGAAAGACTGAAGAACTGCGTCAGGTTCACGGAGACTAAAGAGACCTAACTTTAGTTAGGGATTTTCTTTTGCCATTAAGTACATTATTGGGACAATTAGCAAAATTTGAGGGTCTGCAGATTAGCTAATAGTCTGTATCGATGTTACTGTCCTGATATGATCATGGTGCTGTGGTCTTGAAAGATAATGGCCCTGTTTTTAGAAACACACAGACTCGTGGGTAAGGGGGGCGCGCAGACACACAGAGGGGGACTGAACGGGGGTTGGGATGGTGGCGGGGGGGGAGAGATCAGAGAGAGATTAGAGACCCAGAGAAAGGGTAGCATGCTCAGGATAAGGACAGAGACAGAGGGTGTGATTGTGCAGAGTACGCGGGGGCTTTCGGGTCAGACACCCCGGATTGTGATCCCAGGCCGACCACCGTGACCTGCGAGAAGCCGCGGAGTCTGTTTCTTCACCTGCGAAGTGAGGAAACGCATCGTCTCCCTCCTGGGAGATCGCAGCAGTTCCGCGCACGCCTGACTCCTGGCAAACAGCAGGCGCCCAATTCCTGCGCGCTGAGATCGTCCGAAGCCGCGCGGGTGGCAGAGGCGCTCTGGGGATACCTCGCGAGTGATAGGAGGGGGCGGGACACCGCCCACAGCGCCCACCCAGGCGCGACTCGGGCTCGCCTCCCTGAGCGCTCGCGGGCCTGCCCCGCTCGGCCAGCACCCACACGCTCCGGCTCCCGGCCGCCAGGTAGGGACTCACCTGTGCGCCCGCGCAGGTTGCGCAGGGCGGCCAGGCCTTCCCTCCCTCTGGCGGGCCGCGGAATGCGCCTGCGCGGTCGCTGTCTCGGAACTATTAAGCCCTGGTTCTTTAAACGCGGTTTCGCAGCTGGACTACATTTCCCAGAAACCATTACGGGCTCACGCTCCTCCCGAGCTAAGGTCTCTAAAGGCGGGGGGAATGCTGGGAAATGGAGTCTGCGAGTACGACGTGGGGCCGAAGGGAACATGGTATTGAGAAATTTTGGCTGTACTGACCCGGCGAATATACCCGTTATAGCCAGTCTTTTTGTTGCCCTTCACAGGAGGGGACGTCATAGTCCATTTAACCCATCTAACGAAGTTTCCCCTTTAGCTGAAGTCCACAGGACACGTAGAAGTTGGCCCCATCTAAATTGATGGTGAACAAATTGAGCCTCTGTCACTAATTACTCACTACCTCTGGGCATCCGCTTCCTGTTTGCCTCAGTTTCACCTATCACCTCTTAAAGGGTGGTGTGATAAAGGAAACAGACCCCTAAAGTGGGAGCTGGAAGATGTATATCCAGGAATGCAAGGATGGTTTGATATTGGGCTATCATATAATTTGCTAATTGATATATCAAAGTAATACCATCACATCCATGGATATGAAAAGGGTTTTGAAAACCTTCAGTAATAAGCCATTTCTGCATAAAGTTAATATATTTAAGAATAGGTCCATCTTGGGGCACCTGGGTGGCTCAGATGGTTAAGCGTCTGCCTTCGGCTCAGGTCATGATCTCAGGGTCCTGGGATCGAGTCCCGCATCGGGCTCCCTGCTCCTTGGGAGCCTGCTTCTCCCTCTGCCTCTCTCTCTCTCTGTCTCTCATGAATAAATAAATAAAAATCTTTAAAAAAAAAAAAAAAAAAAAAAAAAAAAAGAATAGGTCCATCTTGAATAGTAATGACAACAATCTTTTTTTTAAAAAAAGGATTTTATTTATTTGAGAGAGAGAGAATAGGTGTCAGAGAGAGAGGGAGAATCAGACCCCCCACTGAGCAGGAAGCCCAACCCAGGCCCCATCCCAGGACCCTGAGATCATGACCTGAGCTGAAGGCAGACGCTTAACTGACTGCGCCACCCACACACCCAGTAATGACAACAATCTTAAGGAGTTCCTTGGTTCTCCCTTGTTTTTAATTACATACATATCATCAAAACCCCGTCTCAGGCTTAATGCTAAAAACCAAAACATCCCCATTAAAGTCAGAACAAACTGTCCAGCATGACCACTTTTGGAAGAACTATCAATGCAGTTAGACAAGAGAAAGAAAAGGTATCATTGGAACAGAGAAGTCTGGGTTGTCATTCTTCTTTAAATATGATATGATTGCTATCTTGGAAATCAGAGAATCAAATGAAACACTAAGATAAGCCATGGATAATTATGTAAAATTACTGGGTACAAGGTTAATAAAATCCCATAGGTTTTCTCTTTTCAACAAAGAATGATGATAAATCTAATGAAAAAAGGGGTTATTTGGATTTTAGTGCCATATTTGCCTGATAGATTGTAATCTCTTTGTGATCTGGAGCAGTTGTCTTCCACTCTGTACCTAGGTTTTCCTCTCTGTAATCCCTCATTGGGATAATGTGTGGCAAATAGCTCTTCTTCAAAGCCTTTCCCCTGCTTTCTGTGCACACAGCTAGACCACATTTCCCAGCCTCCCTTGCAATCCGGGGTGACCATATGACTAAGTTCTGGCCAATAAAGTGAGAGAAGTGAACATGCACGCCAAGCCCAGACCTGGCCCATTGAAACCTCTCACTTGTCACCTTCCACAGTCTTTTCCTTTCTGTGGATGTAGATGGAGACTATGACCCTGGAAGTCCTATGTTGAAAATGGAAGGAGCCTAGGGGCGCCTAGGTGGCTCGTTGTTAAGCATCTGCCTTCGGCTCAGGTCATGATCCCGGGGTCCTGGGATTGAGCCCCGCATTGGGCTCCCTGCTCGGCAGGAAGCCTGCTTCTCCCTCTCCCACTCCCCCTGCTTGTGCTCTCTCTCTCTCTCTCTGTGTCAAATAAATAAATAAAATCTTAAAAAAAAGAAAAAAGAAAATGGAAGGAGCCTAGATCCCTGAATTGTCCCTTGGAGGGGGCCATCTCCAATCAGAAACCAAATAATAAAAAGTTAGTTTCAGTTATATGGACTCAGGGGATTGATTAGATAAATGATGGTATATCCGGCCTATGAAACGTTATCGAGCCTGAAATAATTATGATCAGGACACAATAACATGGTGAAATACTTGTGAATGAAAGTTAAAAGAAGAAAAATTACAAAGTTATGTATCTTTCATGTTTATAAAGATGTAAAATATATGTATACACATGAGTAAAAGGCTAGATAAACCATTATCAAAATGAAATAAGATCAGCTGTCACTTAGTGACAACATGTAGTGGGCTTTATTAATTTATTTAACTCATACAACCACCCTGGGAAGATGTGTCCAACAGCCCCAGGGAGACCTTTGCAGCCCCAAGGCTCAAAGATCCAACCAGCGACAGTGGGTCCAGGGAAACCTCTCTTCTCATCGCCAGGCTCCCCGGCTCTGCTGCCTCTCCATGCCCATGAACTTGGCCCTGGCTCAAGCCTTGTCCTTACCCTAGAGCTTCACTGTAATCTCATCTCAAACCTCCTGGCCCCCAGTGTCTCCCCTCCAGTATGTCCTCCACACACATCCCAGAAGAGTCTTTCTTTCTTTCCTTCCTTCCTTCCTTCCTTCCTTCCTTCCTTCCTTCCTTCCTTCCTTCCTTCCTTCCTTCCTTCCTTTCTTTCTTCTTTTTCTCTTTCTTTCTCTTTTCTTTCTCTTCTTTCTTTCTTTCTTTCTTTCTTTCTTTCTTTCTTTCTTTCTTTCTATAAAGATTTATTTATTTATTTTAGCTGGGGAGCATGCATGAGCATGGGGGAGGGGGAAAGAGAGAAGGAGAGAAGTGGACTCTGTGCTGAGCACAAAGCCTGACACAGGGCTCGATTTCATGACCCATGAGGTCATGACCTGAGCCAAAATCAAGAGTCAGATGCTTAACCGACTGCACCTCCCAGGTGCACCCCCCTCCCCCCCAGAATGGTCTTTCTGCACGAGAGCAGATCCAGTCCTTCCTCTGGCTGGCACTGCCCTCAGCAAAGTGTCCAGGCCTTAGCCTGGTACCTGAAGCCCTGTGAGCCTGGAGCCTGCCTTGCTTCACTTCATGACACTCTCTCTTAATCAACGCAGGTGGCCATAATAAAATACCATAGACTGAATGACTTAAACAACAGAAACTTATTTCTCACAGTTCTGGAGCCTGGAAGTCCTAGATCCCGGAGCCAGCATGGTTGATTTCTGGTGAGACCTCTCTTCCTTGCTTGCAGATGGCCACCTTCTCGATATATCCTCACATGGTTTTTCCTTGGTACAGGAGCCTATGGAGAGAGAGCTCTGGTGTCTCTTCCTCTTTTTATAAGGACATTAGTCCTGCTACTATGAGTCTTGTCCTACATTAGTCCTACTAGCTATGGGTCTTGTATGGGTTACTTAAATCCTCCTTCTAGGTGTCCTTGTCTCTAAAATGCGGGAGCAATGCCTTCTTCATTGGGTAGTCATGCAAGTTAAATGAGCTCACTGACATATGAATCTCATTGCCTGAAGCAAGTAGCATGGTCACAACTGAATTCATATAGCAATCCCAGGGAAGGGTCCTGATTGGTCCTTCTTGGGTCTTAGGCCCACCCCTTGGACCAATCACTATTGCTAGGATTGGGGTACATGATAAAGACATGGTTACAGGCAGTTAGGCCCTAGTGTGATATGTGTGCTTGATGAGGATAGCCCAGGGCATGGTATGAGCACAGATGAGGGCCTCCAACCCACTCTGGGCAATTAGGGAGGACTTTCGGAGGAGGTCTCATCTTGGCTGTAGCTTGAAAGATAAGAACCAATGGACTAAGAGGCATAAACGTGACCAGTGAAGGCAGAGAATGAGGTGGGCTGTTCCAGGCAGAGGGAACAGAGAGTACAGAAGCCTAGAGGAGAGAAAGAGATATAAGGAGCTCTTTGTGGCTGGCATGCAAGTGTGGGATGTGGAAGAGTGCTATGGATTGAATGTTTGTTTCCCCCAAAATTCGTATGTTGAAGCCCTAACTCCCAATGTGACTTTATTTGGATATAGGGCATTTGGGGAAGTAATTAAGCTTAAATGAGGTCAAAAGGGTAGGGCCCTGCTCCAATAGGATTTGATGTTCTATAGAAGACAATTGGCACAGTGCTTTACAGGTAGGATCCTGTAGCAAGGGCCACAGAGCATAATGGTTAATCCCACTTATTCACTGAAAGTCATTAACCTCTCTGTACCTCGGTTTCCTCATTGTATATAAGGAGATAATAAATACCCAAATAAATGACATTTGAATAGGTTGCTATAACTAAAGCTATTACAACAGAATGTTACAGAAAACACCACCTTCTGTTCGCTATCAATATTATTGACATCAAATATTATTTTTATTTTATTTTATTTTTTTAAAGATTTCATTTACTTACTCGACAGAGAGCGAGCGAGCGAGAGCAGGAACACAAGCAGGGGTAGTGGGAGAGGCAGAAGCAGGCTTCCCGCCGAGCAGGGAGCCCGATGTGGGGCTCGATCCCAGGACCCTGGGATGATGACATGAGCCAAAGGCAGACGCTTAACGACTGAGCCACTCAGGCGCCCCTCAAATATTATTTTTAAAAATTATTAATACGGGGCGCCTGGGTGGCTCAGTCGGTTAAGCGCCTGCCTTCGGCTCAGGTCATGATCCTGGAGTCCCGGGATCGAGTCCCGCATCGGGCTCCCTGCTCGGCAGGGAGTCTGCTTCTCCCTCTGATCCTCCTCCCTCTCGTGCTCTCTGTCTCTCATTCTCTCAAATAAATAAATAAAATCTTAAAAAAAAAAGTTATTAATACTTCCCACCTCTTGACCTTCGTATGTGCTGTTCCCTCTGTCCGGAACGTTCTTTTTCTCTATTGCTCTTGGAAAACTGCATTTCTTGCTACCAGCTCTTACAGCCATTCCTATGGGAAAGTTTCCCCTATACCCATCCAGCCCAGCTGGAGCTGGTAAGTCAACTCCCTCCCGGGGTTCCACCCGAACCTAGCGCTGATATTATAGTAACTGTATTGTAATTACTGTAACTGTCTCTCCTGCCCCAGATTGCGCTCTCCGAGAGCATTCATCACACTATAATTTCTGCACAATTTAATTATCCTTTTATTGTGCACTGCTCCCAGGAAATTCACAGAAAGTTAAGGGCGTAGCTGGACTTGCAGCGTGAAGAAATGTAAGAAACCAAAACAACACTGCTACCTAAGCAAAAAGCATTTTAGGGCCACCAACTTACGACCCCCAGGCCTCACCGGAGTGGGCTTGGGGCAGGACACCAGCTTAAGAAGTGAACGTGAAGTCCGGCATCTTTGACTTGTCTGCAGAAGCCTCGCCTGCCAGCTAGCATGCTCGGTGGGGGTGACGTCATGCGCGCCAGGAGTGACGTCACCGAGGCGACAGCATCCGTTGCCTTCACTGGAGGGCGCCTGCGTGGTAGTGGGGGTGGGGGAGCCTGGAAACTACCATTTCCAGACTGCTCTGGGTTGGAGCCTCTGCTCTTCCAAACCGCCCTGATCCAAGGGCTCCTTACTGCGCATGTGCCAAAACCGGTATCTTGGCAACGGAGGACTGGAGTCGGGCTCTTCGAGGGCATACCCCACCCCACCTTTAACTAGAGTGGCTCGGTAGTATCTATGGCAACGGGGGAGTTGCAGGGGGAGAGGATTCTGGGAAATGTAGTTAATTAGAGAATCTAGCGAGCTCTAGCTACACTTAACATTTCATTCGCCAATAATCTCTAGCATAAAAAATATAAGCAACACTCAGCCCCAGATGTTTCTCTGTCACTTCACAATGATAGCAAAACATGTCTTGGGTTGGTCCTCAGTATTCGAAAAAATTAGTTGCCTGCACTACTTATGGAGAGATTTCACATTAAAAAAAATCTGAATTTCTGGGTTCTCTCGAGAACTCTGAAGATCTGAAAACACTGGGCTGTTATTTCACCGCGACCGCAATAGAATGGAGCTGAGTACTTTCTATCCTCCGTGGATGCGACCTGCATTTCACTTTATCTTCCTGGACCCATCAATATTTGGGGTTTCCATCCCAGACCCTGGAAAAACCACCAAGCTCCTTTCCCTGGCATTTAAAGGCCCTCAGTATATGGATCAGTATCATTTTTGCAGGCTTCCTCCCCTTTCCGCCAACACTACCGTCCTCATTTATTCCACAAATATTTACTGAGATCCTGCTCTGGGCCAAGCCTTGTGCTGGGCACCGAATCTTCAGCTAAATTTGGTTTTTCTTATCAACGCCCATCCCTTCCACTGATGAGGTTTTGGAATATAGGCGAGGTTCAGTGCGGTGGAGTCCGGAGCTGACGACCAAGAAAGAATTCTTGAGACATCTTTGGTGCAAAATGGTGGTTCATTAAAGCCCGGGGACAGGACCCGTGGGCAGAAAGAGCTGCTGCCCTGGGGTTGTGAGGGGTGGCTGATTATATAATATAGGGTTGGGGGAGGTAAAGAAAAAGGGAGATTTCTGAAATAACTTTCATATGCTAAAGAAGATTCACAGGATACCAGAGGCCTTGCCATTGTCAAATTAAGGTTGTTTACCCCTCTAGTAAGGCATTAATAGTTGGGAACTTCCTGGAGGAACATTACACTGCCCACTTCAAGTGTCTGACTGTGGGCTGCAGGTTGTAAAGACATTTAATTGTATTTACATTCCCTTCTGGAAGCAATTGCTAAGGTTTTTTTTTTTTTTTTTTAAGATTTTATTTTTTTTATTTTTTATTTTTTATTTTTTTTAAGATTTTATTTATTTGAGAGAGAGTATGAGAGGAGAGAGAGAGCACATGAGAGGGGGGAGGGTCAGAGGGAGAAGCGGACTCCCCGCTGAGCAGGGAGCCCGATGTGGGACTCGATCCCGGGACTCCAGGATCATGACCTGAGCCAAAGGCAGTCGCTTAACCAACTGAGCCACCCAGGCGCCCTAAAGATTTTATTTATTTGACAGAGAGAGCACAAGCAGGGGAGCGGCAGGCAGAGGGAGAGGGAGAAGCAGGCTCCCCGCTAAGCAGGGATCCCGATGTGGGACTCAATCCCAAGACCCTGGGATCAAGATCTGAGCCGAAGGCAGACGCTTAACGACTGAGCCGCCCAGGCGTCCCTTGCTAAGGCTTTTAAGCCCTTCCCAATGGAAAGGCTTTTGTAAGTAACCTGAGGGAGACTCATATCTTGTCCTCGGATTGTGATCTCTGTAAGTTAACTATTTGTTTTTCCTTTAGGGCAGCCAGGAGTGCCTGAGGAATGTCACATATACCCCATGGTGGGGGGGGGGTTGTGGGGTGTCAGCTTCTGCTTTGTCCTCAGCTTGCCCTCTGTTCCCTCATCACACCAAACATCTTCATTATCCAGATCCTGAATGAGATAGCAATAGTTTTGCTAGCAAGTTCAGAAACAGATGGATACTATGTTATCCAAATTTATTTGCTTTCTTACTTGGGGTTAGCAGGTAGCAAGAGTTCAGATAGCAAAAGATTTACATGAAAATGTATCTGAATCTATTCAGGAACACAGAGGGTGAAAATTTAGTTCAGAGAGGGAGGGGAACGTGTATTCTCTGCGTTGACTACTGCTGTCCCTCTTCCAGACCATCCTTGAGGGACCCACTATGGTGTTATCTCCTTTAGGATGCATTCCTCCTTTCAAGCTCTCATTGTGAAGGTTGTCTATTACTCTTGACGGCTCAAATCACTTCTACTTTGATGTAGGGTAACTGGTACCTACAGATGAGTGAGACCTTGTCCCAACCCTTGAGGAGCACCCACTTGGGTATCCAGAGCTAGACACCAACTGGGAGGAGGGTCCTCCAGAAACTGACAGAGACATTGAGGAATTTGTCATGGACTTTATTAAACTTCTTTTCCTTTCCCCTTACAGACCCCCATACCACCGCCCTACTGCAGCAGGAGTTTTCGGTTTTGCCTGTACATAATAGCCCTGGTCAGAGAGAAAAAGCCTGGAGGTTACAAAGAGAACTTCAGGTCCCTCCAGGTCAACCATCCCCCCCCCCCCCCAAACCACTTCTCTCCAATCATCAGCCTTATTTGGTTCAGCCTGTGACATCACGGGTATCTGGGCAGATTTCCAGGGTTCTCAGCCAATCAGTGTTGGTACATGAATGAGGAGGAAAGAAAATTTGGGACTGGGAGTGAGGGTAAAATGTGAAAACAGAAAGAGTGGGAAAGACTGGAGGAGACTCTGAAAGACACAGATATAGGGCGAGAGACTCATGGAGAAGGGAAAGACAGAAGGAGAAGGAAATGAGGAAAAGAGAGAAGCAGGTGTGCTGAATTGAACTGTGTCCCCCCGCCCCGCCCGCTCCCCCCAGATATATCCAAGTCCTAATCCCCAGGACCTGTGAATGTGACCTTGTTTGGAAATAGGGTCTTTGCGGATGTAATTAAGTTAAGGTAAGATGAGATCATTCGGGATTTAGGATGGACCCTACATTCAAAGACTGGTGTCCTCATAGGAGAAGAAGAGGGTGATCAGAGACATAGATGTGGAGGAAAAAGCCATCTGAAGAGGGGAGATGGGTGGGCAGAGATCGGAGGGAAGCCATGAGCCAAGGAATACCAAGGATGCCATAGAGACAGAGGGGCAAGACAGACCTTGAGCAAGAGGCTTAGGGAGAGAGAAACAAGATTCGAGAGAGAAATAAAGACCTAGCGAAGAAAGGGGGGGAGAGGTTCGAACATGGGGGAGGGGGAGAGAGCAGTGGGGAAGGTACTGGAGAAAGAGAGGCGAGGTGGGAGGGATTCAACCTGGGAGGCAGGGTAGGGGGGGACAGCAGGATTGAGACTGGGACAGGGGAGGGGAGGAGAAAGCCCAGTGGGAGAGGCAGAGAGAGGGAGAGAGAAGAGGACACAGACCGAACAAGCTCACAGTGGGAGCAGACATTCATTGTGCTGAGTGCTGATTTAACTCACCACCAGGCGCTGGGAAAGGAGGGTGAGGGGCAGGTGGAGAAGGCAGAGACCTACAGAAAAGGGGCCTGAGGGAAGAGGAGAGGGGCTGGAGGGGGCAACAGGTTGGCAGAGAGGAGGGTGAGGTCCACTTCTCCCCTCGGCACCATGGGCTCAGTGCTTGGGGCCCAATGGAAATGTTTTCATTTTAACCACTTTGAAAAGCAGAACAGAATAAATTAATATAACGACAATGGTGAAGAAGAATATATAATAATGAATTCAGCTCGGATGACATCTGTCTTCATCCAGCACATGCAGGAAATACAATTTTTAATGTATTTTTCTTTATGGAGGAAGAGACCCAGAGAGGCAAAAGTGCTGAGGACCCAGGAAAGACATAAGGTGGTCCAGGGGTGAGAGGAAGAGGAGGTGAGAGAGAAAGAGAGATGGACAGACAGACAGAGATGGGGGCTGGGAAAAGAAATGGAGAGAAGGAAGGAGAGGCAGAGACAAAGTGAGTGAGGAGGAGATTCCCAAATGACACCGTGGCTGATACAGGGCAGGGACATTTTTGTGGGGCCCAGTGGGGCATTTGGGAGCCTCAGGAGAGGGCAGGGATGACTCACGAAGCCACGATGACCCCGAAGGCAAGAATAGCCAGAAAAACAGCAATGACAGCACCACCATTCTGCAGGTTCTCCCCCACCTTCTGGTACTTCAGGGCCACGCGGGGCTGCCCGTCAACTGGTGGGGTGGGGGAGACAACCCTGACTTCCAAGTCACCACCCTTCCTTGGCCCGGCACCCACACCCACCTGCTCACCCAGCAACCTCAGCCTCTCACTCCCTCCTCCCTACCTGTCCCCCCTGCCCTCTCCTGGGGTCTGACTGCATTCATCCATTCCTCAAATTCTGTGTCCCAGGCACTGTTTTAGATGCTCTGGATACCTCCGTGAACCCCACTGGCAAACATCTCTGCCCTCGCAGCACCGACAGGCTACCCAGCACACCCCAGTGACAGCGAAGAGCCCAGTGCTAAACACGACTCGTTGGCTAGGTGGTGGGAGGACGACGTGGGTCGTTCGACTGCCCATGAACATGAAATGCAAAATTCTGACAATCTCAAGACAAGACGAAAGTCAACCTGCATCTTAGCTGGGGACCCTGAAGATCCTTGGGAGTCCCATTTGGCATCTTCCAATCGTCCCCTCCCCCCGACTCTTTCATTCTGTCAGCAGAGCCTCTTGGCTCCACCTTCAGCATGTATCCAGCGTCTGATCCACCTCCTGGGCTATCGACCTGGTCCAGGCTCCTATCAAAGCTCCTCCCCCCGGGGTTCTCCGTTTGTCCTGGCCCTACAGTTCCCCACATGGCCGCCAGAGGGCGCTTGTCAAACACCTACGCCCTCTCCAGTGCCTCTTCCCGCAGAGCCTTCCCTAAATTCGCCTCTCATTCAGATTAAAAGCCTAAATCCTCACCACGGCCCCCCAGGCCCTGCACAATCTGGTCACCATGTGACTAGCTAGCTACTATACCCTTCTTCATTCATTTGGCTCTGGCCACAGTAGCCTCCCTCTCCTTGCTCAACCATG